TATATATATATATATATATCCTTTGTCTCAATGACAGCGTGCACAACACATAGTTTTAAAATAGAAGCAAAAGGACAGATTCAAAATTATTTGCCAATGGGGGTTTAAATGTAAACCTAAAAGATGCACGAGTATATACTGTAATATATTATTGTGAACAGTACAATTCCTAAGATCAGCCACAACTTCTGTATTTAATATTTTCTTTTTTTTCACAGCCATCAACTTGGGAAAGCTCAACTTATCTACCAGCCATACATTCTGGAAATTTAGGAAAAGGCTTAAATTTGGAGCAGGTTTCCATATAAATATTTACATTGATTTGGGAAATGAATAAGTATACAAGTGTAATGAACCTTAATTTTCAACATTTTTACCACTGTCCATGTGAGAGAAGTAGATTTGAAATCCACAGCTATCTAAAGGAACAAATATATTTCTTACCCATTGTTTAGAGTTTCTTTTTTGCCAAGCACTCATTTTAATTCAAGAAAACACTTTCCTGTGAATTTTCACACAATCTAAGGGGGAGAAAGTGCAGAAATAATGTTCCTATCTCAGCAGCTGGGCAATAACAACTTGCCAAAATCTCTTTGTTTCAATGAAATGTATTACTAAAAATGTATTTAGAATCCTTGCTTGATATAACCTTAAATTAATCACTCTGTACAGACCCAGTGAAACAAAGCCATATCCTCAGATAATAAAAACTGCTAATTGCAAGGATCAAGGATTCAAATAAGAAATCTTTATTTCCAGCTCATTTATCTATCTGATACCTGGCTTTCTTTACAATAGCTTTCTTTTTTTTCCCAGTGGTCTCCAAACGTATTGAAGTTATCCCAGCAGTTCCTGTTGATATTCTGCTCTTAATTACATTTCATTTAAAGTCTGGTCCTATTGACAGAACAATGTCAGGAATATCGTTTGTTTGTTTTTCCAAGAGCATAAAAATACTTCTAAAATATATTATCTTCAGATTAAGCAAATTGTCAGATAAAAGTTAAACAAGGTACATTTAATAATTATCTAATTTTTAAATTGTAGGAATCCAAGATATAAAATGAACTGAAGCAAGAAATAGAGGACTACTCTATTTTTATAAATTTAATATCCATGAAGTCAACCATGAAGTGTGCATGATGATACAAGAGTTGTAACTTCTGCTTCAAGCTGTTAAAATAAATGGGAATACTTTTATTGTGTGTAAGATTGACCCCCCCTGAATTTTATCATTAAATGTTGGACAGACAAAGCCCTCTACTGCAGGTTATCTATACAATCTAATGCTAAGCAAATATAGACTGGCCTTTTCCATAGTCCACTGTAATAGCAATAGAAATAACAGACTTATAAACTGCTTTACAGTGCTTTACAGCCATCTCTAAATGGTTTACGGAGTCAGCATATTGCCCCAACAATCTGGGTCCTCATTTTACTGACCTCAGAAGACTGGAAGGCTGAGTCAACCTTGAGCCTGGTGAGATTCAAAGTGCCAAATTGCAGGCAGCCGGCAGTCAGTAGAAGTAGCCTGCAGTACTGCATTCTAACCACTGCACCACCGCAGCTCTAATGCCCTCCTATCAGCTCTACTGGTGCAAAGATTTCATGGGATTCCTTGTTTACAGAGATTTTGCCCTTGTGGATCCAGAGAGGCAGAAATGCTCATTCATACGGTGTTCTTTTCATGATACCCCAAGACGTGTTCTGATCATAAATTTTCTATTTATTATTTTTTAAGGTATGCTAACCACACATTCACAAATCAGGTGGTGAAATATCTTCACCAAGCTATACAACTTTTAATTAGACTTGTTTTTTATTGTCCTATGTTTTAACTTTTTCAATAACAAAATGTTGTGTCAAACACTCTCTTTAATGTAAAGGCTGGTCACAGCTTTGATTTGATGTGGGGGAGGTCATTATATCATTACTAAGGAAAAGAAACTTTTAGTATTGCTTTTATGATTTTTGGTATCGCCACCATAAATGAGTTATGGTTATGAGTTATCTGATATAGGTGTCTAGAGGGTACCAGGTCCCTGGTCAGAGGTGGTATTCAGCAGGTTCTGACCAGTTCTGGAGAACTAGTAGCGGAAATTTTGAGCAGTTTGAAGAACCGATAAATACCACCTGACTGGCCTGTCCCAATCTATTCTCTGCTTCCTAAGTCCCAACTGATCCAGAGGAAATGGGGATTTTGCAGTAATATTCCCCTAGAGTGAGGAAGGAATGCAGATTTTACAGTATCCTTTCTCTGCCACACCTACTAAGCCATCCCCACAAAGCCACTCCCACAGAACCAGTAGTAAAAAAAATTGAATCCCACCACTGTCCCTGGTCATTCTCTGGCAATCCAATAAGCTCCTGTTCTGTTCATTGTAAGGGATGTCATCTACTTCTGAAAGAACACTACTTCAAATACTAGCCCATCCCTTAATTTAACAGAGAAATTTAACTTCCTTTTTTCCTCTTGGCTGTGGCACTGATTATGTAAGTGAATCTGATATATTTCTCTTCCTATTGTTAATATGGCGCATTAAATGTTGAAGTTTTGTTTTTATGGTTACAATTTTGTATTTATGGATTGTCCACATGATGTTTTTTCTTGAGATAAACTGCCTTGCGTTAAATTTTTCTGTAAAGCAGCTAATAAATTATAGAATGAACATAATAAATAAAAACGGCAGATCAGTAAAACAAAAAGCAGGCTTATAGTCCTAGTGTATTTCATGGTTTGGCAGAGTGCCATGCAGACATAACAAACACATTTTGAAGACATTACATTCCTGCAACTCTGTTTAATAAGAGAAAACAATGATCCAGGAATCAGTTACAAAAGAAACTTCACGTTTTGTGATTAGGTAATGTAAGGTCATCATAAAGCACTTTGACGCCATTAGGTATTTAGACAGGTTTCTGCTTACCTGTGTTCCAACTCTCGTATGGACAGAATAACTCCAGAAGTTGATGCCTGCTGCTGTATGTTGGTCAAAAATGTGAATTCGCTTTTGTTCCGGAAGAGCTGAATTAATTTCTCATTTGTGTGGGATGCTGCATGGATTTCTCTATCTACAGCTAAAAAAAAATGATAAGAATAGTGAGGTAAGATATAAAAAAGAAAGAGACATAGCACTAAACTTTTCACATTAGAAACCATTATGGGCTGGTTCCTATTTCCCTTCCCTGTGGTAATACTTTTCATTCTGAGAAATCTGCCTCTTCTTTGCCAGTGCTGTACTTGGGAGCAATGTGAAAATAGAAAACATCCTCTTTATCAGTTTGTCGCCCTGACAAGTTCACAATCAGGTATCTTACTGATTTTCTGACAGAGTTTCTGACAGGAAATGATGAACCATTCAAGCCTGTCATGAGCAGATTACATTGCTGATTCATGAGGTGTGTGCAGAAACAAGATAATAGGCTCCCAAATTTAGAGGGCCTGGCTGAACCCTGAGTCACTGGCAAAGCAGAAATTTCAATACCATCTCGGTTTTCCTCCTTTCCTATCGAAGCCAAAGAATTTGTTCTGATGCTGATGCACTGGCAGAGATCTATTATTGCTAGCAATGCTCTCTCAGCATCCTTATCCCCACCCCCGTGCCTCATCCCCTGTCCATAGATTTAATACATCGTCATGTATGATGTAGCAACAGGAGTGACAATCGATTTGGTGACTTCTCTGTTTACACAAGCCAAGTATTGCTTTCATGCAGTATTTATTAGACTTCAACTTGATGTTTAGAGATGCAATCATTCAGACCACTTTCAACTTTCAGTCACCTTCCCTTTAGCCCTTTTGGGATGAGAAATAAAACAACAAAAATGAAAGCAGCAGATAATGATAGCATCACTAGCTCACCTTTTTACTCATACTTTCATAGAATTGTAAAATCGCACAATCATAGGGTTGGAAGAGATTAAGATTAAGATTTAATTTATTTGTATGCCTCCCTTCTCCGGGAGGGACTCAGGGCGGCGAACAACTCNATAGAATAGAATAGAATAGAATAGAATAGAATAGAATAGAATAGAATAGAATAGAATAGAATAGAATAGAATAGAATAGAATTCTTTATTGGCCATGTGTGATTGGACACTTGAGGAATTTGTCTTTGGTGCGTATGCTCTCAGTGTTCATAAAAAGACAAGTTACATTCTTGCTTCTTAGAACACATCTTGTGCAGATTCCAGTTGACCTTAAGTAAGAATATTTGAGGCTTCCCAAAATTCCTATATTTTAAAATATTTTAAGGAGAATTTAAAGTTTTGTGTATTAACAAATTATTATTTTACATTTTAACTGATCCTCAAATAAAAGTTATGAAGGACATTCTAACATATGAGTCTATATATAGGGTTCTGTCTTACATTTCTCCCCAGAGAAACACCTGCCAACTCAAGATGACCTAATTCTTCAGCCAACTCTTTAATCCTTACATCCATCATTTAAACTACACCAGTGTTCCTCAATTTAGCAACTATAAGACATGTGGACTTCCACTCCTAGAATTCCCCAGCCTGGGTAGAGAACATTAATTCAAATCAATTACTTCTGAAGTGACTTAGATAAAATAAACCAGTTCTACAACCTTAACCAGGATTAAGAAACACTAAAATACCCATTCTGATCTATCTTTTCTGCTAGTTCTTATTATATGATATATAAAGTTCTTGGAGTCTAGGAGTCTTCTATATCTTTCTCCTCCAAATGGATCTTCAATTTATTTGGAGCATCTAGTAGGAGAGTACAGTTGTGGTATTCCATTAATCAAACCACAGCATCTTTCTTCTATCTAGGATGATTATCTTCTTTCACTGAGCATAATTCTTTGAGAGGGATGCACATTGAATACAGCAGGGACAGTGAAAAGGATTACCAGATCATATTAGGAAATAATAACAACTTCACAGTTGCATAGGAAGAAGATAGATGATTGTTCTCTGACAGCTGAATCTCAATGATCCATAGGGTTATTTTGGATGGTCATGTAGGTGTCTGTTTCCTCCCTCCCTATTATCAGCCTCCCCATCTTAGTTACGCCTTCCCTTGACCACTACTGCAGAAAGAATCACACTGCCCATTTGGTATAACATCTCTCTTCATTCCTTATGCTTCCCACATATGCTATGTATCCTCTCACTAGCTATTCATTCAAGAATAACCAAATATTACTATTTCATTTGGTTCAATTAATCTAATCTCTGGGACAATTTGTTTAACAGAAAGAAAGAAAGAAAGAAAGATAATCAGACTATGACGGCACAGCCATTCACATTAAGACTTGGCTTGCAAATATTTTATACATATGTAACTTTATTGATTTTAAAAAATACTAAGTTAAAAGATTTGAATAAGGGAAAAGCTCAGGGGAGGAAAAAGTGAAAGTGCAAGAAAGAAAAAGAAAGAAAAATAGAAGAAAAATAACTTCTAACTTTCTTTGGCACTTATATAAGTAAGAAAATAGATCAAACTCTTACTCTAATATTCTTCTCCATTATTTTTGCAATCCTGTATAATTCTAATTGCTAAATCCCCAAAACAACATTTCTGTGATGAAATGAATCCCCAGGAGGAAGGAGTGCATTACAAAGGAGTAAGATGCAGTTCAACCCAGATATCAATTATGAGAGAAAGAGGGTTCACAAAGTATATTGTAGTTGCAATTCTCAGTCTGGCAAGATTTTGCCTATAGGTACAAAACAATAAAGAACTCAGTTCAGAAAAATTACCACATGCCATTCTTGGTTTTGGACTTGATAATTTCATTTCTTCATTTTTGTCCCAAAAATATAAAAGTATTTTCCAAGTAGAAACAAAATGATTCATGGTCTTTTCTTTAATCAAAGCTGTAATTTCAACATATCTACCAATTCCATCAACTTTACAAACCATTCTTCATTGTAAGTATTTGTAGATCCTTCCACCTTTGAGGATATAAAAGTCTTGAAGCTGTTGTCATATATAAAACCAAAGATCCATAAAAAGATTCCATTTGTTTGTCCATTAAACCCCAAAGAAAAGCCTGTGGTTTTAATTGTCTATTTACTTTTGAAATCTTCTGGATCAAAATACATACTTGATCCCAATATTTTCTAGCTTTCCCCCATGTCTACCAGAGATGAAAAAATGCACCTTACATTTCCAACAAATATTTGAAATTATCTTATATAGTTTTAATAATGTACCTGATGTCATGCATCAGTGATACACCATTTTATAAAAAAATGCTTTAAGATTATAATTCAGTGTAAATTCTAACCTTTTCTTCCCCATACTCTCCTGCTGGTTCAACTATACATTATTTTTGAAGCTTTTCAACTTCTTTATCCTCAATTTCCATTTTCAATCAAAGTTTATACATCCTAGCAATAATATGATCATCATTTGAACAGAGCTCTACATAAAACTCAGTTTTACCCTTTTTGAATTCATAATTCTTCTTATCCAGCTTAAACCTTTCCATTACCTGAGCACAAGGAAACCAATGGCAAGTAAAACCTTCCAATTTTAAATTTTCTCCTGTTTTAAGTTTTAACTCTCTGAGAAAAATTCAGCAAGTCAGCATAAGTTAACCATTTTTCTTTAACATTTGTCTGAAATATTTAGAAAGCAGTAAAGAGAGTATGACAGTAAATTAGCAATTACCTGAAGCATTCCTATCTTCTTTTCTCAATTTGATAAATTCTAGCTTTGCTGGGTCAAAGTCCAGTTGTGGGCTTGGTAGGGGGGATTAAAAAGAGTTAAGATGGTGGTCATTGCTACCTTCTAACATTTTTATCCCTCCTCCTGTGGATGGTCTACTCCAAGTAACACGAGTACTGGATGTCTAGATATGTAATCCACCCCATCTGAAGAGCATCAGGTTGGGAAATACTGATACAAACTATGTAAACAATTGCTTCAAAATGCCATATTCTACTGCTTTTGAAATGCTTATTTAATCTTTGAGAACATTTTCTCCTATTGCCTCTGTCTCTACAACACATACCTTATTCCTATGAAGCAACAATGATTTATGACTTGATTTACACCAGTTATTTATGCCTTGTTAATACTGTTGTGACATCATATCATATGAATTAAGTTTTCTGGTAAAAGAAGGATAATTGCTACATTAACCCATACTGTTCCAAGCAAAAACATTTTTTGTAATAGAGCTGTTCTAAGTGAAAGTGAAGAGCATACCTGTGTGGCAGATCCCTACTATATTTCATCCACAATATCCACCTCTTTCAAATGCCATGACAATAAATCAACAATAGCAGGTTCTCCCTGAATTATTTAGGACAAAACAAATAAATCTCAAAACTGAGAAATATTGAGATATTATTTCACTATAGAAAACCCCTCCTGTTGAAAGTTAATTAAATTTTTCACATCACCATTAGTGGTGGGTTGCAGGTGGTACGTCCCAGTACGGGCGTACTGGAGCCTGCCCAGACCACACAGTACCATTCTGGTACTGTGGTCCGGAGGGCCCGCCTGCCCGCCCTCGCTCCTTACCTGTCTTTAAAGTCTTCAGCGTTTCCGCGCATGCACATGGCACATACAGCGCCTGCGCTCTGCTCCACTGAGCAGCTGAAGCATCACAGATGCTTGCAGAGGCATCACGGGACAGTAAGACACATGTGCACACTGCGTGCATCCATGTGGACGACGTCGGGCCCATTACGGAACCCACCACTGGTCACCATCAATACACAACTACTAAAAAATAAAAACTTGCAAAGCAAAAATTGAAAAAGCAGCAAAGAAAAAACAACTAAAATATGCTACAAAAATCTATAGGGAATCAAAACCATAAACACAACAGTGATGACATAGGTTCAATAAAAAGGGCCCCTTTAAGCCAACAATCTAGTGGAATGTCAGTGTTATACCTTGGCTCTAGAACCATGCATCAAGTCACTTCACCTGAAAAGCTGGGGGCTAGCAGTGTGATGTGAATTATGATATGGTTGCTTTATTATATCCTGCTGCAAGCACTACTGATGCAGTCGATGTTGACCTGACTTGTACATTCAAGCTGATCACAAAAACTATTCTTTTGCTGCACCTGCCTCCAAAACACTAT